GTACTATCAAAATTCTTGATCATGACCTTATCACCTTCTTGATACGTTGTAGCCAGTTTATGTTTCTTATCGTAATTGATCTTATTGCGTTCCTGACTTAAAAATGTGCGTTCAACCGCTTTTGTACGAATTTCTGAAAGATTACGAACCCTGCCTACGCATTCCTGTTTGTTTAAGTAATCCCTAAGACTATCGAGTACTTTTCCTCGCTGTAAAATACCGTACAACAACAGACTTGGACATTCCCCCGTAGATCGATTTATCGAATTATTCACGGCATACTCGACTTTCTCTAATACATTCGGCCATGTTGTTTCTTTCTCGTCGCTCAATTTCGCGATCATCGGTATAATGGTCCGATTCGTACGTTCTGCTTGACCATTCGCCTGTGGCAACGCAGTCGCAATCTTAACATACTGAATATCGTTATCCTTCATGAACTCCACGAATTCATGTGACGTAAAACTACTACCCCGATCCGAGACAATACGTAACGGCTTACTATAATGCGCAAAATATTGTTTCAAGCACTTAATAACCTCAGCAGTATTTGTTGTTTTCGTCGCATAAAGTTTTAAATACTTTGTAAACCCATCCACTACTAAAAATATATGTCTCTTTTGGGCGGAGGGCGATTTCGACAACGGGCCTAAGTGGTCTATGTGAATAGTGTCAAATGGCATATGCCCCTTGGGTATGTTATGCAACATTTCTTCGGACTTTCCTGACTTTGGTGAAAATGCAATGCACTTAAGGCAAGACGAAACATAAGCGTTCACTTTCGTTCTCATATTCGGAAACCAATAAGTAGAAAGAATATTTTGCATTGTCTTTTCCGGTCCAATGTGATCCATCTCATTGTGATATGCGTGTAATATGCTGTGTTCCATAGAATATGGAACATAAAACGAAACCTGTCCCTTGATTTTCCGATACACTAAACCATTTCTCAACTCCTAATGTTTATCCTCCACCGTTTCCAATCTCATACGTACAGTGCCGAACAAAAATATTGGCACAGAGCGTATTTTCAAATAAAATGTTATGTAGCTGTGAATAAAGCACAATGTCTTCTTTATTTTTTATGTAAAATATAAGTTTGGGGTTTGAACTTTAAGTATCTCGCGAAAAATGTAAAAAATCTTCCGCGAAGTGGTCGTCCACAAAAATGATCAGAACGAGATAAACGAAAAATTACCAAGATTGTAGAAAAAAATCCTAAAGGTGCCTCTACAGAAATAGCGGCACAAATGAAAAGTGAACATAAGGTAGATGTACATCCTATAACTATCCGGAGAGTTCTTAAAAGTGCCAGGTACAATTCAAGAGTGGCTAGAAGAAAATCATTGATCAGCAAAATTAATGGAAAAAACAGATTAAAGTTTGCAGAAATGTATGTACACAAAAATTTAGAATTTTGGGATAGGATACTCTTCTCTGACGAAAGTAAATTTAATATTGAAGGGATAGGGTGCGTGTTGGTATTATATAATCACAGCGTTCACTTTTTGAAGTCTTTATTTTCTGCGCGTCGTTCTCAAGTAAAATTGGTCTCGAGAAAACTCTCGTCTTTCTTTATATATTATTACATAGCTGTCGCCGTTTTCTTTGGCCAACCCCCTAAAAGGTGGGGTTAACCAATTAGCGACGTAGAACTCCGCCAAATCGTACCGTTCCCCTTCTTGCGCTCGCAGCGCGCTTTCTTGAAACGGGGGTGCGATTTGACGGTGGTTGCGCTTACTGGCGAAGGTGGCAACGCCGCGGAATTTCCCAAGGTCCTAGGTCGGCAGCGTGACCAGCCGATGGTCGCTTGTCCTTGCATAGGAGACCGTTGTGGAAACTCAGGGTTTATGACACTAGCGATTCCCATCGAGGCCGTTTAACAAATTCTTACTATGGGCATGCTTTTTACAAATTCTAATTGCAGAAACGGCTTTCTCAAAGATAGCTTCGCTGTCGTCCATGTCATAAACCGTGCTAGCCGTTTGCATGTCCTATGCCTTTTTATAGTTGTACGGCTAGCCGCTACATCACCCCCTTTCCAGTGCAAACGTTATGCCTAGCTAGTGTTCCTAATTTCTAACTTACAATTAGTTTTAAGCTAAAACTATGTACATCTTACAAACTACTTACTATTTACGCTATAAGCTTATCTACAACACTAGCAACCGACCTGTAGACGATCGGGATATCTAACGCGTCTTCCCGTACGCGTCCGTACAGGATTCTGCGCGCAGGTCGGCGTGGCATCTGCTACCGGTTCTCGTGTGATACGCGATGACATTTCGTTATCTGATTCTGTCGGTAATTCGCTATGTTCGAATATGTATGCCGGTTTGAGTCGATCTATCGAAATTGACGTATCTTTACCTCTTACTCGGATTACATATGTTTTTTTTAATCTAGAAATGACGGGGAATGGTCCCTCGTATTGTGGTTGCAACGGGCCTTTCGCGGCGTCGACGCGTACAAAAACGTGCGTGGTTGTCGGTAAATCTTTAAATACGAAAATTTTCCTTTCTCCATGCCGTGATCCTGTGATCGGCCGTAGAGTTTTAAAATGTGCTCGAAGGTTATTTACTAATTCTATGGGTTCCGCGTTATTTCCCAATGCTGTAAAAAATTCTGCTGGTATACGGATATTCTCGCCATAGACTAATTCAGCTGCGGACGCTGTCAAATCCGATCGGTGGGCTGCTCTAATACCCAATAAAACTATTGGTAGTGCGTCTGTCCATCGTTCGTCATTATGGCATTTAATCGCTGCTTTGAGTTGCCGGTGGAAACGCTCGACCAGACCGTTCGCTGCCGGATGGTACGCGGTCGTTCGCAGGTGCATCGTCCCTAACAGCGCGTTCAATTGTTTAAATAACCGCGACTCAAACTGTCGGCCCTGGTCGGTGGTAACCCGTAACGGCGTGCCGAACCTTGCTACTCACCCGCTAATAAATGTTCGGGCGACGTTTTCCGCCTCAATATTTTCTAACGGGAACGCTTCCGGCCAACGCGTAAACCGATCCACGCAGGTAAGGCAATACCTGTTACCTCTTGCTATCGGCAATGCTATCGTACAAGGTCGATATGCACATGTTATGTAACTGTGAACGAAGCATAATATCTTCCGTATTTTTGGTATAAAATATAAGTTTGAGGTTTGAACTTTAAGTATCTCGCGAAACAAAGCGATTAAGTAGACCTGTAATAATAAAAAATAATAACAAACACATGCAGGGCAGTTTTCGACGAAACAAAAATATTGGCACACTTACTATTTTATAATAAAATATTCAAATTAATATTTTGTTTGTAATCCTTTTTGTCTTATTACACTTTGTAACCGATTAGGCATCGAATGTACTAAATTTTGTGTTACTTCGTGTTGAGAATAGATATATTTTCAATGTCTAGCATTGCGATTTTTCTCTGCTCGACGTCGACCCAGGTCGGGTCATAAAACCCATAGGTCTGCCGATCATTTGGCGACGCCTATAAAGCCGGGCTTTTTCTCCGTTTGGAGTTAGTTGTGCGACAACCCTGACCGCGGAGAAAGTCTTTTACTTAGTTTTTCGCCTCCGTGTCTTGTAATATCCATTATTATACTTTTCAATAAACCATTTTTTCTTCTGCATGTAAGCGGTTGAGTTCAATCTTTCATAACGATAGATCCTCAACAATTCAAAGTTCGATAATCTATACATAATCGAGTGTCGCCCGTATTTTTCTGCAACAAAACTATTGGCGAGGCATAAGCCGAGGTGCTTTCTCTAATTACCCCTTTTTCGCAGAGAGTATCTAAGATTTCCTTCAGCTTAATTTTTTCCATGTGCAAAAGTCTTCTGGGTGTACTGTTCCGTTCGTTCGGCTCGGGGTTTTCCGCGTGTTTATGGTGCCAGATGCGGAAACATGACTTTGTCGAAAAAGTCTACGAATATTCCGCATCTGGCAAAAATAATCGTAAACCGTTCAAGCACATTAACTATTCGAAAGCGCAAGGCCCGAGTTGACCGACGAAGGGCTGTATTGTTCCGCGGGTGGCACGGTCCTCTACAACGACCATCGCCAACTCGTGGAACAATACAGCCATAAAACGGCTGCAACGCACGTGCAGCTACGCGAAATCCGAAGTTCCGTTTTTTCCTCGGAAAATTAACGGGGCCTTCGACTTGGGGAGAAAACCTCGGTCACCCTCGTCCAGGGTGACCTGGGCCTTGCCTCCACCACGATCGGGTGAGGGAGGAGTTTCCTGCCCAACGGGGCAGGAAAATCGATCCTCCTCCCCCAAGTCGATGGCCAATCGATAAACGGGAAAATTAACGCGAATTGAAAGACAAACCCCCGAAATCGCGAGTCGGAGGGGGTTCGAGCCGAGGAGGAAACGGGCTCCGGACACTTCGAGCACTCGTTCTTCGATCACCGAACAGTTAACAGCAAAAAGACTTCCATCGCAACCGCGAGTCGATTAACGTACAGTTCGACTCTGATTCGACACCGACGATTTTATTTCGAGAACATTCTTACATCAGTTCAACGTCATTCAGCAGCAACATTCGTGCTGCATTAACCTTAGAATCATTGTTTCCGGGTTAATTCCTTGAAGCAACGCGACGCGACGGACCGTTTACCGCGAGCAAAGGTAGCTTCGAAATTTACGACTTCGAAGACGGGCTCCACCGTGCGGGATATCGCGACGCAATCGCGAGGTACGAAATCAACCTCGAACCGCAACATGGTCCTTCGAGCCGGATTCCAGTGACCAGTGGAACAGTGATTGTGCTGAACGAGGGAGAGCAACAGAGCACAACACTCGCGGAATCCAGTCAACGGCAATTCTACGGACAAACGCAGCAGCCATCACCAACTGGAATCATCCAGCAAGGACAACAGACGGTCCAGGATCAACCAGCCATCGGGAGATCCAGTCAAAGGTAGGCTCGCACTTTAGATTTGCCAATCATCCCCCTATTAAACCATTCCTTGAACCTCGTTAAAATCGTATCGAAATGGAAGCTCGAAGTGAGAACGCGTCCAGCATCGTCTCCGCGCATGTTCGTGATCTGAAAATCAAGCGACGGACTTTTAAGAGCCAGATCACGCAGTTCCGAAACTGGGTAGAAACATACGCGGATTCCACCAAAGAGCGCGTGAAATTGCGGGAACGTATCGGAAGGTTACGCAGTCAGTTTGAGACCTTCAACCGCATCCAGGACGAACTAAGCTCGTTAAATTGTACGGATTTTGAAGAAGAGGAAGAAGAACGACAAAACACCACAGACCACTTCGACGACGTCATGGCCACCGCGGTCGTTTTGTTCGAAAGCGTAGAGGCACGCGCGACACAGGCTTCACCCGCGAGCGGCAATTCGCCAACCCCCTCTTCTTCCGCGTACGCGCTATCGGTAAATCTACCAAAAATCGATCTACCGAAATTCGACGGTCGTATCGAAACGTGGATAACGTTCAAGGACGCGTTCCATACCTTGATCCATACACAACCGGGATTAAGTAAAATCCAGAAACTCCATTATCTGCGACTATCGTTGTCCGGAAGAGCTGAAGCCGCGATCGGAGCTTTCAGCATCACGGAAGACAACTACGAGGCCGCGTGGAAACATCTCATGGAGATTTATGACAATAAACGTGCGCTCGTGTTACGTCACGCCACGCTCTTACGCGACACCCCCGCGATGCCAGACGACTCATCGGAGTCGATACGCGATTTGGCGAATCACATGCAACTTCACATTCGCTCGTTGCAAGCCCTCGGTCGATCGCCAAACGACATTGCGAACGATCTCATTGCGAGCATACTTATCGCGAAGATGGGGATCGAGACGAGAAGATCGTGGGAGCGCACTTTATCGGGCACGGAGGTACCGAAAATCGACGACCTGTTCAAATTCCTGCACAACGCGTCGCACCAGAGCAAGGAGTACGGACTCGACATCAATCGCTCGCCCACATACCGCGACTCCGTGAACAGACCGCGAGCGACCCCGACGCGCAATCCCACCGGCTATCCGCGAACGCAGCCACCGATACAAAAACGTCAAGTTTATTTGACCAACACCGCGCGAAACAGTCCGACGCCGCCGTTATCTTCGAATTCGCAACGACGGACGACGCCGCCGACATCTCCTCGTTCGCAACGACGGTCAACCCCTCCATCGTCTCCACGCGCCCAACGCCGATCGACGCCGCCGCCGGGACCGAAACGAACGGGATACGCTAACGCGAAATGCCCCGTATGCGAGGGATCGCACGCGATATATCAGTGTCCGCGGTTTTTGGATACAACGGTACCGCGTCGCGTTGAAGCCGCTCGCAAGGCACATTTGTGCCTTAATTGTTTGCAACCGGACCACCACACGGAAGATTGCAAGGCCGGAAGATGCCGTGTGTGTAACCACCGGCACAACACGAAGCTGCACCAGGATCAGCATCCGGAGAACGAATCATGACTACGATCGACCGTCAGAAAGCCCGACCATCCGAGGGCCGCCAACTTCGCGATCGACGGATCGACCTTCGAGTTGCTAGCTACTGCAATCGTACATGTACTCGATCGCGACCGAAAACCGTTCGAATGTCGGACCCTAATCGATACGTGTTCGAGACCAAATTTTATTACCAACGACCTGGCGACGAAATTACGGCTTCCCACGAAAGACAATACCACGACGATTGAAGCGTTGAACCAGTTGAACACGATCGCGAATCAACTGGTGTCAACCACGATCAAATCGCGACTATCTAACTATCAGCGGGAATTAACCTTCTTCACGATCCCACGGATCGCCGGACCAATACCGGACGAGCACATCGATCGTTCTCGAATAGCGATACCGGCGAACATCAAGCTCGCAGACCCGCAATTCCACCAACCGGCACAGGTGGACATGTTAATCGGCACGGGTCCTACGTTGTCCTCGCTCAGCATCGGTCAACATCGACTCTCTCCTCGCACTGGACCTGATCTGGTCCTCCAAAAAACGCAATTTGGATGGATCATCGGGGGGAGCGTATTAACGGCTGCCGCGCGGAAAAAACAGCGCACATTTCTCACCACCCCAACCTTTGACCTTCAAAGGTTCTGGGAGTTGGAAGAGGTATCCGAAACGCGACACCTTTCCTTCGAGGAACAACAATGCGAGCAGCATTTCCGAGATCACGTCACGCGAGACAACACCGGCCGTTTCATCGTCGCGCTGCCGTTTAACGAAAAAAAGACGCAACTCGGCGAATCTCGATCGCGCGCCTTGAATCGTCTTTTGTCCCTCGAACGCAGATTCCGGCGAGACCCAGACTTAAAACGCGAATATTCGGACGTCTTAAAAGAGTATCTGGACCTGGGGCACATGAGCGAGGTAGAACCTCGCGGCACGGAGGGTTTCTACCTGCCCCACCACGCGGTCATAAAACCGACCAGCACGACGACTAAGATTCGTGTCGTCTTCGACGGATCCGCAAGGTCCAGCAGCGGACTATCGTTAAAAGACACCCTGTTAACTGGACCGACAATTCAAGACGACATTTTCGCGCTCCTAGTCAGGTTTCGTTCGCACACGTATGTCTTGACCGGAGACATCGAGAAAATGTACCGCCAATTTCTCATCAGACCCGAAGATCGCCGGTACCAACGCATATTGTGGCGAGACAACGACGACAAGATCAAAACCTACGAACTCAACACCGTCACGTTCGGGTTATCTCCCGCACCGTTCCTCGCCATCAGGAGCATTCAACAGCTAGCGGACGACGAAAGAGTTGAGGCTCCAGTCGCGGCAACCGTTCTTCAGCGCGACTTGTACGTGGACGATTTGTTGACCGGAGCGGACACCTACGCAGAAGCAATAAGGCTACGCGAGCAAACAATCAGGCTTCTCAAATTGGGTGGATTGCACATTCGGCAGTGGGCTTCGAACGAACCACGACTTCTCACAGGACTTCCGGAAGCCCAAATCCACACCAAATATTTCGGAGACGCAACGGTCAAGACTCTCGGCGTCTCGTGGCACGCGCGCGACGACCACATCACCTATTCGGTGGATCCGAATATCGAGACAAGAGTAACGAAGCGAACAATCTTGTCCACCATCGCGAAGATATTCGATCCTTTAGGTCTGCTGGCACCGGTTATCACGACCACGAAGCTACTGATGCAGTAACTTTGGTTACTGAAATTGGACTGGGACGAATCTTTACCAGCCAGCATCCATACCGAATGGACCACTTACGTCAAGGAGTTGCCGTCACTGAATCGGACATCATTCGAGCGTCACGTCGGTCAACGCGCTATCCGCGCCGTAGAGTTGCACGGATTTTGCGACGCAAGCGAGCGGGCATACGGAGCGTGCCTATACGTCCGGTCAATCGACGAACGCGGTCATATCAAAACGAAATTGTTATGCGCAAAGTCTCGCGTCGCCCCCTTGAAGGTCGTCAGCCTTGCAAGATTAGAGCTGTGCGGAGCCGTACTCCTCGCGTCATTGGTTTCGACCGTTCGTGAAATCAACGCATTCGGTTTCGACTTCGTGAGGTTATGGACCGATTCGACGGTGGTCCTGAGCTGGCTGAGGAAAGAGCCATGCACGCTAAAAACGTTCGTAGCAAATCGAGTGTCCGAAATTCAAGAGAAAACGGACATCGCAGTGTGGCATCATGTCCAATCAGGAGACAATCCAGCGGATCTGATCTCGCGAGGCCAGTCACCTGCAGAATTTTTAAGGGATTCTCTCTGGCGTCACGGACCAGAATGGCTCGCCAACAACGTCGCGGATTGGCCCAAGTCAAAATTCATCGTCACCTCAGAGGTTCCGGAAACCCGTCCGCGCGCATGTTTCGCGACCACAATCATTCGCAGCGAAGAAATCCTGAACCGATACTCAGACCTCGCCAAATTGAGAAGAATCGTCGCATATTGTCTCCGATTCAAGAAAGGTTCTCGTCAAGAAGGAACACTGTCCGCCGAGGAAATCCACCACGCCAACGAACGGATCTTGAGGCTCGTTCAAGCCTCCGCCTTCGATCAAGAAATCCGCGATCTCAAAATCGGAAAGACGTTACATCCGAAGAGCCGGCTTCTGCCATTACACCCTTTTCTGGACGACAAGGGACTACTTCGCGTCGGCGGTCGGCTACAAAATGCAACCGTGCCATTCGACCAGAAGCATCCGATCCTGCTTCCAAGAAACCATTGCGTCACCGATCTAATATTGCGTCAACACGTTCGCGATCGAAGTCGAGGCGATTTTAAATTCCCGTCCACTAACTCCTCTGTCATCTGATCCCAACGATCCCGCCGCGTTGACTCCTGCCCATTTCCTGATTGGCACTTCTTTAACGAGCATGCCCGAGACCGATTTCAGCAATCTTCCCAGCAACCGGTTGTCAAATTGGCAACACATTCAGAAGGTCAAGCAGGACTTCTGGGCCAGATGGCACAAGGAGTATATCCACCAGCTGAACGTGCGAACAAAGTGGACCAAGGGTTCGCACGAGATCAAGGAAGGATCCTTGATCATCTTAAAGGATGATCATCTTCCACCTTTACAATGGCATCTCGGACGAGTCGAGAAGGTGCACCCAGGAGCGGACAACATCATCCGAGCAGTCACCGTACGGACCAACCAGGGCACCTACAGACGCAACGTGAAGCAGTTGGCGATGCTCCCAATTCCAAACGAGGAACCTCCCCAGCAATAATCAGGCAGCTCATCAAGATGCGCAATCGAATCTTGAACGCCGTATGCGTTCAACGGGGGGAGCATGTTCCGTCCGTTCGGCTCGGGTTTTTCCGCGTGTTTATGGTGCCAGATGCGGAAACATGACTTTGTCGAAAAAGTCTTCGAATATTCCGCATCTGGCAAAAATAATCGTAAACCGTTCAAGCACTTTAACTATTCGAAAGCGCAAGGCCCGAGTTGACCGACGAAGGGCTGTATTGTTCCGCGGGTGGCACGGTCCTCTACAACGACCATCGCCAACTCGTGGAACAATACAGCCATAAAACGGCTGCAACGCACGTGCAGCTACGCGAAATCCGAAGTTCCGTTTTTTCCTCGGAAAATTAACGGGGCCTTCGACTTGGGGAGAAAACCTCGGTCACCCTCGTCCAGGGTGACCTGGGCCTTGCCTCCACCACGATCGGGTGAGGGAGGAGTTTCCTGCCCAACGGGGCAGGAAAATCGATCCTCCTCCCCCAAGTCGATGGCCAATCGATAAACGGGAAAATTAACGCGAATTGAAAGACAAACCCCCGAAATCGCGAGTCGGAGGGGGTTCGAGCCGAGGAGGAAACGGGCTCCGGACACTTCGAGCACTCGTTCTTCGATCACCGAACAGTTAACCTTAAATCGCTTTATCCATCATACGCATCCCCAAATATCTCAAATGCTAAGGTACCGCGATTTTAGTAATATTAATAGTGCTCTTACCGCGGCTATAACAGAAGAAAAAGCTTTACGCTTAAGATACGACAATTCTCCTAGATTTGCTAGTTTTAACCGGCCGGGACAAAGCAATTATAATCACGAAAGGAAACAGTGTCGTTACTGTAAAAATTTCGACCATGAAACAGAGGAATGTAGGAAATTGCAGTATAACAATGCTAGGCGAGATAACAGACCCATGAATCAGCTTTCATCTAATCCCAATAGGACGAATACTTATCGGCAGAATACACACCCTACGCGTTACCACTCGCCCAGGCACAATTCAACTTATGATTATTACCAGCAAAACCGGTCCGCTCCTACTAATATGTTTACAACTGATAATATCCCCTCAAAAACTAATCCGAATCCGCTAAATTTTCCGCACGTCCAACATCCACCAAACCCACCAATTTCGCTAGAAGAAGCAACCATGGAATTCGATGCGATGAGGTTAACATAAGTTGCTCCAGTGTATTTCAAATGCACAACGATCAATTATGTGTACTTTTTGAATTCGAGGATTCCAAGGCCGATGATAAAACGTTAAAGTTCTTGATTGACACCTGTGCTGCCATTTCTCCCATTAAAGCCAGCAGTATACACATTTCGAATATCGACAATAACAGATCCATCATGTTAAACGGCATCGCACCGAACCAACCCATTCCAACCTTGGGAGAAACCGAACTTTCATTCAAAATCCATAACAAGGAAATCTGCGGAAACTTTCAAGTACTTAACACCCCCAGTAACATACCTTTCGACGGGCTTTTAGGTGATGACTTTCTTCGAGAGCACAATGCTCTAATAGATTATTCAAAAGGTAGTATCTCGTTTGAACCGATACCATTTACGATACCATTACATCGGAATAGCCCCCAAAACTCAGCTCCTGCAATTAAAATCAATGCGCGTACCGAAACGGTAGTGCTGATAAAATTGTCAAATCCTCAACATCTTCGAGAAGGAATAATAACCTCACAACAATTAAGTGTAGATAACTCCCTTTTGTTACCAAATGCAATCGTCCAGGTTCGTAACGATGACACGGCACTTGTCACGATAATTAATACGTCGAACAAATCTCAGGTAATTCCGATTCCCGAATGTTTAATTGAGCGAATGCCTAGTTCTGCATACATTTATAGCCTTGCTGCAAACCAAGGCACCAATTCCAGAGAGAACAGATTACGCATATTGGAGGAAAACTTGCGACTTGACCATCTTTTATGCCTTGCCTTATGGAAGAAGGGTCACTGGTTAAGGGTTGTGTTTGCGATTGGCGTCTAGAGTTGTTGTACTGAAGTTTTCTGCACTCATTTATTAGATGTCCAAAATTTGTACAGTAATTGTATTGCTTTACAGGCAGCGAAACATCAGAGGTTTGATTTGGAATGGAGTTTGAAGTGTGTTGATTATGATTGAAACGTGTGTTGAAATTATTGTAACGAAGGGGTTCAGACCTAAATTGTGAAGATTGGTAATTTCTGTTTCTATAACATTCATGCGTTAAATGATTGGTTTCAAAGCAAAGTTTACATTTCTGTGCATAATTATCGTATCTCAACCGTAAAGCCTTTTCTTCTGCTACAGCAGCTGTAAAAGCATGATTAATTGTTTTGAAATCCCGATACCGTAACATTTGCAAAATTTGAGGGTGTGTGTGATAAACAAATCTATTTAAAGTCATATCATTGATCATGGCTGATCTACCCCCGAGTGTGTCTTCCATTGATTCGATGGAGTGAAAGATACCTAGAATTCGCGACGAAAATTCTTCTAATCTTTGATAAAATTCAGTAACGTTTTCGTGACGTTCTTGTTTCAAGCAATTCAATTCTTCTAATAATTGATCTAGACTTTTCTTATCTTGATATAAATTTAGTAGCAGTTCAGATATTTCTGGCCAAGATGTTAAGTTACAATGAATGTCAATTTGTTCTCTTGCTTTACCCGTAATTCGACTTTTTACGTAAAATAGAAGTGGTTGAAATTGGAAGGGCTTGGCTAATTCAAAAGCTGCATCTACTTCTTTAATAAAGCTACGTAATTTATATCTATCGCCATCAAAGGTATTTGGAATTAATTTTATTAAGAATTCTAGTGAAAGAGTTTGAGTTTGTTCAGTATAGATAGGCCCACTTTCAATCGACATGTTGTCTCTCCCTTATTTTTTTTTTTTCTTAGAAAAATTGGAATCGGAATTTGGAATTAGGAATTAGAGTTCGAAAATAAAATTGCAAGATTGTTGAACGCAAAGATTCGGATGGTACTTACGATGCAGATATTCCACGTCGTCCCACTGTTGCTGCTGGGCCTTTCTTCGAAATTCCAGGGTCTTCCAGTCAAACCGTGGATCGTCAATTGGTCCTCTGATGTAGCCTTATGCGATGGTCCAATCTTCCCAATTGAAATTGGAACTTACACTCAGTTCGGAAATTAGTATTCCGTAATTCAACTGAATATGTAAGTGTTGGATGCTAATATCCCACTTCTGACACCAATTTATGTTGGGAACCGGGTAAGAAACTCGTAGACTGTCGGTATATTACAGGTATAATATATTTCGCAGTGGTTTCTAATATTACTCGGTTACAGCAACTAAAGTTCTACGATAAGACTAAACGAGGAATGACGTGACGTGAACTGATCGTATTCGAATTTGTACTGAATCTGGGTCCCTATGTTTTGACTCCTATATACATATATGTCGGAGAAACAGAATCTTGAAC